CACACACCACACACACACACCACACACACAACACACACACACACACCACCACACCACACAACACACACACACACACACACACACACACACACACACACACACACACACAACACCACACACACACACACACACACACACACACACACACCACACCCCACACACCATGTTGACAGCTTCCTGTCTGTGTTCCTCTGAACAGGAAGTGAGTGCAGCTGTTCCTCCAACAGTGGCTGTGATGAGTCCGGAGTGTGCAGGTGAGGTTTGTGCTGTCTGTCTGCTGATACCTGTCTGTCTCTCAGGTGTGACCCCGGGTGGGGGGGCCCTCTCTGTGCTGTCTGTCTGCTGATACCTGTCTGTCTCTCAGGTGTGACCCCGGGTGGGGGGGCCCTCTCTGTGCTGTCTGTCTGCTGAAGCCTGGCTGTCTCCATGGTTCCTGTCAGCAGCCCTGGCAGTGCCGCTGTGACCCGGGCTGGGGGGGGCGCTTCTGTGACAAAGGTCTGTATCAAACAACTCATTTTAAATAAATAAATAATAAATTCAACGTGTCTAACCCCTCAGAGTATATACCCTCAGAGTATATCCCCTCAGAGTCTATCCCCTCAGAGTCTATCCCCTCAGAGTCTATCCCCTCAGAGTCTATCCCCCTCAGAGTCTATCCCCTCAGAGTCTATCCCCTCAGAGTCTATCCTCTCAGAGTCTAACCCCTCAGAGTCTATCCCCCTCAGAGTCTATCCTCTCAGAGTCTATCCTCTCAGAGTCTATCCCCTCAGAGTCTATCCCCTCAGAGTCTATCCCCCTCAGAGTCTATCCCCTCAGAGTCTATCCTCTCAGAGTCTAACCCCTCAGAGTCTATCCCCCTCAGAGTCTATCCTCTCAGAGTCTATCCTCTCAGAGTCTATCCCCTCAGAGTCTATCCTCTCAGAGGTCTATCCCCTCAGAGGTCTATCCTCTGCAGCGTCAGTCTATCCCCTCAGAGTCTATCCCCTCAGAGTCTATCCCCTCAGAGTCTATCCCCTCAGAGTCTATCCCCCTCAGAGTCTATCCCTCAGAGTCTCCCCTCAGAGTCTAACCCCTCAGAGTCTATCCCCTCAGAGTCTATCCTCTCAGAGTCTAACCCCTCAGAGTCTATCCTCTCAGAGTCTAACCCCTCAGAGTCTATCCTCTCAGAGTCTAACCCCTCAGAGTCTATCCCCTCAGAGTCTAACCCCTCAGAGTCTATCCTCTCAGAGTCTAACCCCTCAGAGTCTATCCCCTCAGAGTCTATCCCCTCAGAGTCTATCCTCTCAGAGTCTATCCTCTCAGAGTCTATCCCCTCAGAGTCTATCCTCTCAGAGTCTATCCCCTCAGAGTCTATCCTCTCAGAGTCTATCCCCTCAGAGTCTATCCCTCAGAGTCTATCCTCTAGAGTCATCCCCCTCAGAGTCTATCCCCTCAGAGTCTATCCCCTCAGAGTCTATCCTCTCAGAGTCTATCCTCTAGAGTCTATCCACCTCAGAGTCTATCCCCTCAGAGTCTATCCCCTCAGAGTCATATCCTTCAGAGTATATCCCTCAGAGTCTATCCCCTCCGAGTCTATCCCCTAGGTCTAACCCCTCAGAGTCTACCCCCTCAGAGTCTATCCCCTCAGAGTCTAAACCCCTCAGAGTCTATCCCCCTCAGCAGTCTATCCCCTTCAGAGTCTATCCCCTCAGAGTCTATCCCCTCAGAGTCTAACCCCTCAGAGTCTATCCTCTCAGAGTCTATCCCCTCAGAGTCTATCCTCTCAGAGTCTATCCCCCTCAGAGTCTATCCCCTCAGAGTCTATCCCCTCAGAGTCTATCCCCCTCAGAGTCTATCCCCTCAGAGTCTATCCCACTCAGAGTCAATCCCCTCAGAGTTATCCCCTCAGAGTCTCATCCCCATCAGAGTCTAACCCCTCAGAGTCTATCCCCTCAGAGTCTATCCCCCTCAGAGTCTAACCCCCTCAGAGTCTATCCTCTCAGAGTCTACCCCCTCAGAGTCTATCCTCTCAGAGTCTAACCCCTCAGAGTCTATCCCCTCAGAGTCTAACCCCTCAGAGTCTATCCTCTCAGAGTCTAACCCCTCAGAGTCTATCCCCCTCAGAGTCTATCCCCTCAGAGTCTATCCTCTCAGAGTCTATCCTCTCAGAGTCTATCCCCTCAGAGTCTATCCTCTCAGAGTCTATCCCCTCAGAGTCTATCCTCTCAGAGTCTATCCTCTCAGAGTCTATCCCCTCAGAGTCTATCCTCTCAGAGTCTATCCCCCTCAGAGTCTATCCCCTCAGAGTCTATCCCCTCAGAGTCTATCCTCTCAGAGTCTATCCTCTCAGAGTCTATCCCCTCAGAGTCTATCCCCTCAGAGTCTATCCCCTCAGAGTCTATCCTCTCAGAGTATATCCCCTCAGAGTCTATCCCCTCAGAGTCTATCCCCTCAGAGTCTAACCCCTCAGAGTCTATCCCCCTCAGAGTCTATCCCCTCAGAGTCTAACCCCTCAGAGTCTATCCCCCTCAGAGTCTATCCCCTCAGAGTCTATCCCCTCAGAGTCTATCCCCTCAGAGTCTAACCCCTCAGAGTCTAAACCCTCAGAGTCTATCCCCTCAGAGTCTATCCTCTCAGAGTCTATCCCCCTCAGAGTCTATCCCCTCAGAGTCTATCCCCTCAGAGTCTATCCCCCTCAGAGTCTATCCCCTCAGAGTCTATCCCCTCAGAGTCTATCCCCCTCAGAGTCTATCCCCTCAGAGTCTATCCCCTCAGAGTCTAACCCCTCAGAGTCTATCCCCTCAGAGTCTATCCTCTCAGAGTCTAACCCCTCAGAGTCTATCCTCTCAGAGTCTAACCCCTCAGAGTCTATCCTCTCAGAGTCTAACCCCTCAGAGTCTATCCCCTCAGAGTCTAACCCCTCAGAGTCTATCCTCTCAGAGTCTAACCCCTCAGAGTCTATCCCCCTCAGAGTCTATCCCCTCAGAGTCTATCCTCTCAGAGTCTATCCTCTCAGAGTCTATCCCCTCAGAGTCTATCCTCTCAGAGTCTATCCCCTCAGAGTCTATCCTCTCAGAGTCTATCCTCTCAGAGTCTATCCCCTCAGAGTCTATCCTCTCAGAGTCTATCCCCCTCAGAGTCTATCCCCTCAGAGTCTATCCCCTCAGAGTCTATCCTCTCAGAGTCTATCCTCTCAGAGTCTATCCCCTCAGAGTCTATCCCCTCAGAGTCTATCCCCTCAGAGTCTATCCTCTCAGAGTATATCCCCTCAGAGTCTATCCCCTCAGAGTCTATCCCCTCAGAGTCTAACCCCTCAGAGTCTATCCCCCTCAGAGTCTATCCCCTCAGAGTCTAACCCCTCAGAGTCTATCCCCCTCAGAGTCTATCCCCTCAGAGTCTATCCCCTCAGAGTCTATCCCCTCAGAGTCTAACCCCTCAGAGTCTAAACCCTCAGAGTCTAAACCCCTCAGAGTCTATCCCCTCAGAGTCTAAACCCTCAGAGTCTATCCCCTCAGAGTCTATGCCCTCAGAGTCTATCCCCTCAGAGTCTATGCCCTCAGAGTCTAAACCCTCAGAGTCTATCCCCTCAGAGTCTATCCCCTCTAGACTAACTGTGTTGTCTCAGACCTGCAGGTGTGCTCTCAGCGCCCCCCCTGTCTGAACGGAGCTTCCTGTGTGATGGAGGACAGCGGGGATTATTCCTGCGTCTGTCCTGAAGGATTCCACGGGAGAGACTGTGAGCTGAAGACTGGACCCTGTCAGCAGAGCAGGTCAGTGAACGCACCACACACTCTGCAGGTCAGTGAACGCATCACACACTTAGTTTGTCTGTAGAGCAGGTCAGTGAACGCCCCCTCATGATTAGGGATGGGTATCGTTTGAAATGTATCGATTCCGATTCCGATTCCGGTTCTTATCGATTCCGATTCCGGTTCTTATCGATTCCCCGTTTCGATTCCAAAATTGTAAAAGAAAGAGGTCAAACGTTTAGATAACAAAAATATCTTTATTCTTTTAAGCTTTAACTGACATTTTTACAAATAAAAAATATACATGCAATACAAATGTATTGCACAATAGCTGTGCTTTATGTTAACTGAGCCTGTGGCAAGCTATCAACAGGCATTACATTGTGCCTAGTCTTTTTCTTTATTAGTGTAGTGGAGCCTCACTTTAGAGCGTTTACATCTTTGGTGTTATGAAGTGACTGAGCTCTGTCTACGGGAGGGCGGGGGGAGCCTCGCTGCGGGGAAACTGTGGACCTCTGTCGCCGCAACTTACCTGATGCCGTTTAAAGAAATTAAGGGCGGTGACGGCCGTCAGCGAACCGAGCCGGCCGTCAACGGCCCGCTGACGACCGGCCGTTCTGTGATTCTCCAGAGCACACAGATGGCCAGTCCGCCCTACCCTGGCTGTATTCCACCGGACGGACCCGCGGCGCAGACGGACCCGGTGGAATACAGGGTCTACCGCGTTTAGGAACCGTTAAGCAGAACCAAAATTGTGTATTTTGTATGGGTACCCGGTACCCGGCATTTTCTTATCGGTTCTCATCTGGAACCGAGTTTCGGTTCCCAACCCTACTCATGATACCCTGTGTGTCTGTAGAGCAGGTCAGTGAACGCCCCCTCATGTTACCCCTGTGTGTCTGTAGAGCAGGTCAGTGAACGCCCCCACATGTTATCTCTATGTGTCTGTAGAGCAGGTCAGTGAACGCCCCCTCGTGTTACCTCTATGTGTCTGTAGAGCAGGTCAGTGAACGCCTCCCTCATGATACCCTGTGTGTCAGAATACCCCACTGTCCCCTCAGGTCTCCGTGCAGGAACGGGGGTCTCTGTGAGGACGATGACGGGTTCTCCTTGGTTCTGCGCTGCAGCTGCCTGGCTGGTTTCTCGGGGCCTCGCTGTGAGACGGACCTGGACGACTGCCTGATGGACCCATGTGCTAACGGCGCCTCCTGCCTGGACGGCGTGAACCGGTTCTCCTGCGTCTGCCCGCCGGGCTTCAGCGGGAGGTTCTGCACAGAGAACCAGGATGACTGCGCCCGGCGGCCCTGCCTCCACGAGGGCCGCTGCTTGGACCGAGCAGACGGGTTCCTGTGCCTCTGCAGGCCAGGGTTCAGCGGGGACACCTGCCAGACCGTGATCAGGGACCAGAGGAACCACAGGAACTACAGTCATTCAGACCAGAGGAACCACAGGAACCAGAGTCATACCGACCACAGGAACCAAAGTCCTGACGACGAGGTGTTCAGGGTGACGGTCAGTGAACGCAGCGCCCCCCCCTCCCTCTCGAGAGTCCAGCTGAGCGTCCTGATGGTGCTGGGGGGGGGGAGCCTGGCCGCCGTGATGCTGACCGCCGGCCTCCTGCTGCAGGGTTACTGCAGGGGGGGGGGGGGACAGCAGGGGGGTGGACAGCAGGGGGGGGGGGGGACGGCAGGGGGAACAGCCGGGGGAATAACAGGGGGGGGGAGGCGGAGGTTCAGATCAGCTTCCTGAACGTAGCAGAACCAGAGAAGAAGAAACTGAACACTGAGGTCATTTAGAGCTGGGAGGTTAAAGGACTGTCTTTAAAAACCCCTCAATGCTATATATCAGCACCTATTCAGAGCAACACATAACCCCATCAGGTTGGGGGGGTTCTGATCACAAGACCAACAACCATGGATACATATCTAAAGGACTCTGAACCGGGTCCTGGACAGACCTCTGACCCAGAAGATGATCCTGGTGTGAGTGGGTGTTAGAGAGAGGAGGAAACAGAGAGGGGGGGTCTCTGTGATGCTAGTGTCCCAACGACCTTGAACTCATCTCCAGTTCTGTACCAGGATCAACAAAGGCTGAAAACACTCCCATGATGCACCTGGTGTTGATATTATGGGCTGTATTCATGTTGTGCCTCCTGTAACAGATCACCCTCTCTTCATCTTCATCTCCCTGAGAACCTGGTGCCTACATTACCCACGATGCACCTCTCCCTCTGTAGTTCATACAGTTCCTCCTTTAAGAGCTGCACAGATAAAGTAATAAACAGATTAAAGCATTAATAACTATAACTCAATAAGCTCTCACGGCCCCTACACACGGCGGCGTGCGTTGACGCTTCAACGCTTCTGCCCATTCACTTTGAATGGGGTGACGTCACGATTCGCCGAACTGCATTGTGGGAGCAAAGCGTAGCTTTTCTCGCGGTGCTCGCTGCAAAAGTAGAGCAATGTTCTACTTTTGAAGCTGAGGCGGAGGCGTCAGCCAATCAAATCCCGTGTATGCAAATCTGCCAGTACAAGCGCTAGCCAATCAAACCGCGTGTATGCTGAGAGAGCCAGACCGCAGGTCATTTCCTCATATGCCAAAAAATGGAGGAGAAAATAATCGTAGCGGTAGGGAATCACCCGGTGCTTTATGATCAGTCCCTGTTCACCTACCGGGATACAAACCGGAGGAGCCAGGCATGGAGGGAGGTGGCAGAGACAGTGGGTGAAACTGGTAGGTTTTCGCCTGTTTGGGGAGTTTATATCCAGTGTACTTCGTTTGAATGGACAGCAGGCATAGACAGTATTTAGCCAGCATGGACTGTTGGGTAAAATAGCACCATAGACATTAATGTCATAAATGTTCATCATATAAAGTGTGACATGTAAAACCTTTTATGCAATTGACAGCAGAGATGCATGTGATTGGTTGTTGGTCGCGTTGCTCGCGTAAACTCCCCAAGCTCAAGACACGCCCACCGCCAAGCGGCAACGCACGCCGCTGTGTGTAGGCGCCGTCAGTCTCTCTGTGCCCCCCCCCCCCCCAGTGACAGCAGCATTGTTCTGTTATAACAGTTTGTATTTACAGTATCATAATGTGATTTTATAAACAGGTCATTGCTAACTCTCTTCAGGTCTGAACTTGTTTATTGTTTGTTGTTTATTGTTTTTTTCTCTGAAGCTTCAAACCTATTTATTGGTGTAATTTATGAATGAGAACTAACGGTGTGCAATAAAGAGATGAGAGAACACCAGAGATTCATGTCCTCGTTTCTAAAGTTCAAGAGTAAATTCTAATTCAGGGTTGCCAACGTTGGCTGGAGTGAGATGTTGATATCATGGGTTTAATTACACACATGCTAAATGCACGAAATGACTGCTATCGTGTCAGCAGCGGGACCTTAGCATATATATAGGATATATATACAATATATACAAATACACAATAATGGACACAGACTATAAAGGGCACACAGTTTCATTCACTAATGAAAGTCAAACATGTTTGTTTCCACTGTTTATGTGTGCCTGTCGCGATAAGCAATTAAATGACTTATCGTACGATAAATAAAAATGAACTCGATAACTTTTCTGACCTCGATAAATTGCCATTTACATGAGGATGTGACTAGCAGTTTGAAAGGATGTACTTGAATTATTATTATATATTATCATTATGTCAGTGGTCTAAAATGGTCATACAACGGTGCCGACAATATTATCGATTATCGCAATAATTTCCGGGAAAATGTATCCAACAAAATGAATTATCGTGACAGGCCTATACATGAAACACACACACACACAAATCTACAGACTTACTCCAAACTGCCAAATATATTAATTAACTCTCACTCTCATATACTCTTTGACTCTATGTTGGCCTAGTAGAACAATAAGCAGCAGACTTTTACTTTTTATCATTTCTACTGGATCTCAGATCTGCGCATGCACCATGCGGGTCGGGGATTGAACTAACCCAGCATTAGCTTGGTAACATCATTAGCTCGCTACCATCATTAGCTTGTTGACAATATTAGCTTGTTGACGTCATTAGCTTGTCGACATCATTAGCTTGCTACCATCATTAGCTTGTTGACATCATTAGCTTGCTACCATCATTAGCTCCCTGAGATCATTAGCTTGCTACCAGCATTAGCTTGGTAACATCATTAGCTTGCTACCAGCATTAGCTCATCCGTTAGCTTCAGAATGAGGACTCGGAGCCGTGGTTACGAATCTGTAAACAGTTTATTATCGTGACATCAGAACGACATTCATCAGGTGAACTGTGTAAGTCACTTGTGTGTCAGGTGAACCGGTGCTACATCAAACCATGCAGAGCATGTGATTGGCTGCCAGCCATCAGGTGCTCCGACCAGCCGCAGAGTGGAGAAACAAACAGGAACATCCAAACAAATCATAATAAAGTGAAACAGGAAGTGTGTGTGAGGGGGGGAGGAGTCACATCTCAGTCTCAGCCAATAAGCTCTCACCTACACCTGAAGTCAGAAAGACCATCTGGGGGCTGGAGTCTGTGGGTCAGAGAACAGGGTCAGTCTCACACACCTGTCACCTGTATCATTAGTTACACCAATGCCACAGCATTCCACTAATGTTCTTCAAATCTTTAATCCCCTTATTATTATTTCAGCCAATACTTTGGCTCTCCATAACTTCAGCCTACCTTGAGCTACAGAAACCATTCAAATATTAAACTATTCAGCCTGTTCAGGAATTGATGGGAAACCTTCAACTTTTTCAAAATATTTCATACTTTTTTAAATATTTAGCTTTTTAAACTCTTTTTTTAACATGGAAGTCAATGGGACGACTCTTCAAATCCTCTTTTCCTACACCTTGCGCCAAATGCTACTCCTTCCACATACTTTCAGCTAGACACTTCATTCCAACTTTCAAATGATCACAAGACCTTCAGCTATTCAATTCTTATTCAGATTTTTGATATCTTTTACACTTTTTGAGATATTTAACTTAGTTTGGAGCTTGGTAGAGAGGCCTTTTTCAGATTTTAACATTAGTGTGGATGGAGCAGCTCGTTAAGTCTAGAGTGCTTTGATCTCAAAATAGAGTGGAGGACAGCTTGAAATTCTCCCCAAAAAATGTTTTAAACTTGCCATAATTCCCAAACCCTACACTCCTCAGACATCATTTTTCATGAAAAACTTAGGAAAACCTCTCCTAGGTTGGAAAATTTAAAAAAATTAAGAAAAAATATTAAACAAAATTCCTCTTGAGGGCATGAAGTGAAAAAAAGTCCACCTAGCTCCCAATTGATTCCCATGTTAAATCTTTCCGGATCTTTCTTCAGAACAGAGGGAAGTACACTTTAGACAAACTGCTCCCATCTCCACATTTTACACACAAAACCCAAAAAAACAACATATATCAGTTCATTGGGGTTCCCTGATGCTCACGGTCTGGTCATTTTTTGATAGGAGCCATAGTTTTTGAACAGGTGGCACAATTGTCAGATATGATCCTCAATGCATTCTTAATGGCACAGTGCTGTCAGTTGGTTGCCATGGTGTTGCTGGGCAGATTGAAAGCTTTGATCTCTGGGCTCACACAGGTGCTATGAGTAGGTGCTATGAGTAGTTGCTATGAGTAGGTGCTATGAGTAGGTGCTCAGCACAGAAACACACACTGACAAACACACTGGACTTTAACAGACTATTCTTTTCTGTCTGATGGAGACTTCATACTACTTACATCTGATATTTAACTCCTTCAGCCTACTTTCAGCTGCAGAAACCATTCAACTATTAACTTATTCAGCTATTTCAGGACATTGAGGCTATCAATGTTGTTGTTTATACCTTTTTTAAACCTTTTATTTTAAATATTAAGCTTCTTCACTATTTTTCCTCTTCCAGTTTAACATTTCACTTTCAGGTTTTCAACAAAGTCATTGCATTTGAGCTGTAACAATTTGATTCAAATCAATTCACTTTTCTGCATTTCTCCGCTAAGTTCAGCAACACACTGACTTGGTCTCTGTAGCTAAAAGCAGCTACCATTCAGCTAATAACATGTTCAGCTTTTTCTGCATTTTCTGCTAAATTCAGCCACAAATGTTCACAGTTTATAGCTTTCACAGTTTACAGCATTCACACGCATTTTCTGCAGGAAATGCATTTTCTAGTTACATCACTTCCTCTACACACCTGTCATTACATCACTTCCTGTTCACTATGAACCCCCGGAGGAATAACGGTGTAGCTTACCTGCTAACGAAGCTAACATTAGCTGTTAGCTTTGTTAGCGGGTAAGCTACAGTAGTGTTTAAGCCCTGTGAGGTAAAGTGCTCAGGTGTGTCTCTGGAGAGAGGCTAACGCTAGCCGGTCATCTCTGCTAGTTCTTTACCTGGGGGGTCAGGTAGCCTACAGTCTGAAGATTAGCTCAATGCTAACGGCTAATCATTAAGCAGAAGGGAGGAGCTATTTATGCATCAAAGGATCTGATTGGTCGAACATATTAAAGGTAAACACTGGGTCAGCCCTTACTGCTGTGGGGGAGCCAGGCGGGGGGCTGGTACTTGTCTCTGATTGGCTGGTACTTGTCTCTGATTGGCCGCAGGGCGCTGTTAGGGGCGTGGCCTGGCTGAGGGGGCGGGGCCTCCTCTTCCTCCTCACCCTCTGACAGCAGGTCGCTGATCTGCTGCTGCAGCTCCGCGCTGATGCTGTTCTCAGACAGAACCAGAACCCTCAGGCTGGTGGGATAGTTCTGCACCATGTCCAGGAACACCTGCAGCACACAAACAGAACCAGAACCAGAATCAGAACCAGAACCAGAACCCTCAGGCTGGTGGGATAGTGCTGCACCATGTCCAGGAACACCTGCAGCACACAGAACTTTCTTCACCCAGAAGGTCCAGGGTTTAGGTACATAATAATAATAATATAATCAAAGGAAGAAAGAGGTTTGGAGTTAGAGGGACGTCTCCCCCTGCTGGAGGAACAGCAGAAGACAACGATACAAATACAATAACAACAATAACAACTAGGGATGCACTCCAGTTAATGAGAGAAACCCCCAGTTAATGGAAGAAACCCCCCAGTTAATGGAAGAAACCCCCCAGTTAATGGGAGAGACCCCCCAGTTAATGGGAGAGAACCCCCAGTTAATGGGAGAGAACCCCCAGTTAATGGAAGAAACCCCCCAGTTAATGGAAGAAACCCCCCAGTTAATGGGAGAGAACCCCCAGTTAATGGGAGAGAACCCCCAGTTAATGGAAGAAACCCCCCAGTTAATGGGAGAGACCCCCCAGTTAATGGAAGAAACCCCCCAGTTAATGGGAGAGACCCCCCAGTTAATGGGAGAGAACCCCCAGTTAATGGAAGAAACCCCCCAGTTAATGGGAGAGACCCCCCAGTTAATGGAAGAAACCCCCCAGTTAATGAGAGAAACCCCCAGTTAATGGAAGAAACCCCCCAGTTAATGGAAGAAACCCCCCAGTTAATGGGAGAGACCCCCCAGTTAATGGGAGAGAACCCCCAGTTAATGGGAGAGAACCCCCAGTTAATGGAAGAAACCCCCCAGTTAATGGAAGAAACCACCCAGTTAATGGGAGAGAACCCCCAGTTAATGGGAGAGAACCCCCAGTTAATGGAAGAAACCCCCCAGTTAATGGGAGAGACCCCCCAGTTAATGGAAGAAAACCCCCCAGTTAATGGGAGAGACCCCCCAGTTAATGGGAGAGACCCTCCAGTTAATGGGAGAGAACCCCCAGTTAATGGGAGAGACCCTCCAGTTAATGGGAGAGACCCCCCAGTTAATGGGAGAGACCCTCCAGTTAATGGGAGAACCCCCCAGTTAATGAGAGAAACCCCCAGTTAATGAGAGAAACCTCCAGTTAATGAGAGAAACCCCCCAGTTAATGAGAGAAAACCCCCAGTTAATGAGAGAAATCCCCAGTTAATGGAAGAAACCCCCCAGTTAATGAGAGAAAACCCCCAGTTAATGAGAGAAACCCCCAGTTAATGGAAGAAACCCCCAGTTAATGGGAGAACCCCCCAGTTAATGAGATAAACCCCCAGTTAATGGGAGAAACCCCCCAGTTAATGAGATAAACCCCCAGTTAATGGTAGAGACCCCCCAGTTAATGGGAGAACCCCCAGTTAATGAGATAAACCCCCAGTTAATGAGAGAAACCTCCAGTTAATGGGAGAGACCCCCCAGTTAATGGGAGAACCCCCAGTTAATGAGATAAACCCCCAGTTAATGATAGAAACCCCCCAGTTAATGGGAGAAACCCCCAGTTAATGGGAGAGACCCCCCAGTTAATGGGAGAACCCCCAGTTAATGAGATAAACCCCCAGTTAATGATAGAAACCCCCAGTTAATGGGAGAGACCCCCCAGTTAATGGGAGAACCCCCAGTTAATGAGAGAAACCTCCAGTTAATGAGATAAACCCTCCAGTTAATGGGAGGAACCCCCAGTTAATGGGAGGAACCCCCAGTTAATGGGAGGAACCCCCAGTTAATGGGAGGAACCCTCTCAGGACGGACAGACAGTAATAGAGGTCGTGTGTAAACCAACCTGTGCTGATTGGTTGCTCAGTCCAGTCCCCTCCAGATCCAGAACCTCCAGAGTTCTGCTCGAGGCCACAGAGACCGCCAGCATCCCAGCAATTTGATCCCCTGAGAACCAGAACCAGAACCAGAACCAGAATCAGAACCATAATCAGAACCAGTTTTTTGTTAGTTGTGTGTTAATGTGTATTACAGTGTTAGTGTGTGTCAGTGTGTGTTAGTGTGTGTGTGTCAGTGTGTGTGTGTGTGTGTGTGTCAGTGTGTGTGTGTGTGTGTGTGTGTGTGTGTGTTTGTTTGTCAGTGTGTGTGTGTTAGTGTGTGTCTGTGTGTTAGTGTGTGTCAGTGTGTGTGTGTGTGTGTGTGTGTGTATGTGTGTTAGTGTGTCAGTGTGTGTTAGTGTGTCTGTTTGTATCAGTGTGTGTGTGTGTTAGTGTGTGTCAGTGTGTGTTAGTGTATGTGTGTGTTAGTGTGTGTCAGTGTGTGTTAGTGTGTGTGTTTGTATCAGTATGTGTGTGTGTGTGTGTGTCAGTGTGTGTTAGTGTGTGTGTGTGTGTGTGTGTTAGTGTGTGTCTGTGTCAGTGTGTGTTAGTGTGTGTGTGTGTTTGTATCAGTGTGTGTGTGTGTGTGTGTGTTTGTATCAGTGTGTGCATGTTTCTGTGTGTGTTGTTGTGTACCCAGAGGGTTGTAGTCCAGGTTCAGCACTCGGAGCTGAGAGCTGTGAGAGACGGCGACGGAGAGACGAGCCCAGCCTCTGGAGCTGATTCCTGGGTTTGCAGAGAGAGTGAGCTCCCTGAGACCTACACACACACACACACACACACACACACACACACACACACACACACACACACACACACACACACACACACACACACACACACACACACACACACACACACACACACACACACACACACACACACACACACACACACACACACACACACACACACACACACACACACACACACACACACACACACACACACACACACACACACACACACACACACACACACACACACACACACACACACACACACACACACACACACACACACACACACACACACACACACACACACACACACACACACACACAGTTAAGAGTAATGTTAAGGGTAAGGGTAAAGTTAAGAGGTTCTGACCCGATTTGTTCCCGGTATGAGGCAGCACGCCACATATCAGTTAAGGGTAAAGTTAAGGGTTCTATTAAGGGGTTCTGACCTGACTTGTTCCCATCAGGAGGCAGCAGACCACAGATCAGTCTTAAGGCTTCGTCTCCCAGCAGGCAGTCTCCCAGGGGAAAGTTAAGGTTAAGGGTAAAGTTAAGGGTTCTGTTAAGGGGTTCTGACCTGACTTGTTCCCATCAGGAGGCAGCAGACCACAGATCAGTCTTAAGGCTTCGTCTCCCAGCAGGCAGTCTCCCAGGTCCAGGCTCAGCAGCGCCGGGTGGGACGACAGAGCCGGATTCAGCGTCACCAGGCCGGCGTCCAATAGGGGGCTGCCGTGGAGACTGAGGGGCGGGACCAGAGGATTATTGACCAATCAGACTACGTTTACATATTTATAATATATAGTACACGTGTGTGATTTTGTTTGGTGTTAAACAGTATTTACATTGTTTCTATAAAGTGAAGATTTGTTTACCTTCTGTTGATACATGCTCTAATAAACAAAGTTTAAACAAACCAAAAAGACGTCCCCCTGTACTCACAACAGCGCCTGCAGTGATTGGTTGCTGCTCAGAGCCTGGGCCAGCTGATTGGTCCGGCTCAGGCTGGAGACCACGCCCAGGTTCAGGTTGAGCTGAGCGAGAGAGCGAGACGAAGCCACGCAGAAACACACCTGCTGGAAGGCTGCGTCTGAGAGCTGGCATCCTCTGACTGAGAGGAGGCGCACCACGTCCTCCTGGAGGCTCTGGCAGATGTCCTGCACCTCCTCACCTGAGAGGAGCTCACCTGTGATCTGGATGGAGGCCGGGAGCATCCTGGGGACTCTTTAAAAGGAGAGGGAACACACACTGATATACACCTGAACATCAGCAGAGAGGACTCTTTAAAGTAGAGACACTACATACTGATATACACCTGAACATCAGCAGGAGAGGACTCTTTAAAGTAGAGACACTACATACTGATATACACCTGAACATCAGCAGGAGAGGACTCTTTAAAGTACAGACACTACATACTGATATACACCTGAACATCAGCAGGAGAGGACTCTTTAAAGTAGAGACACTACATACTGATATACACCTGAACATCAGCAGAGAGGACTCTTTAAAGTAGAGACACTACATACTGATATACACCTGAACATCAGCAGGAGAGGACTCTTTAAAGTAGAGACACTACATACTGATATACACCTGAACATCAGCAGGAGAGGACTCTTTAAAGTAGAGACACTACATACTGATATACACCTGAACATCAGCAGGAGAGACTCTTTAAAGTAGAGACACTACATACTGATATACACCTGAACATCAGCAGGAGAGGACTCTTTAAAGTAGAGACACTACATACTGATATACACCTGAACATCAGCAGGAGAGGACTCTTTAAAGTAGAGACACTACATACTGATATACACCTGAACATCAGCAGGAGAGGACTCTTTAAAGTAGAGACACTACATACTGATATACACCTGAACATCAGCAGGAGAGGACTCTTTAAAGTAGAGACACTACATACTGAATAGGGACTCTTTAAAGTAGAGACACTACATACTGATATACACCTGAACATCAGCAGGAGAGGACTCTTTAAAGTAGAGACACTACACACTGATATACACCTGAACATCAGCAGGAGAGGACTCTTTAAAGTAGAGACACTACATACTGATATACACCTGAACATCAGCAGGAGAGGACTCTTTAAAGTAGAGACACTACATACTGATATACACCTGAACATCAGCAGGAGAGGACTCTTTAAAGTAGAGACACTACATACTGATATACACCTGAACATCAGCAGGAGAGGACTCTTTAAAGTAGAGACACTACATACTGATATACACCTGAACATCAGCAGGAGAGGACTCTTTAAAGTAGCTATACGCTGAAAGGTGTTCACTAAAACTCCATCTCCCAGGAGGCTTTGCTCCATGTGGTTTCCTGTATCATGTTCAGGAGTTGTGTTACAGGTGTAACATAAAGAATATGTTAACATCATGTTTTATAATAAGATGAAGTATAAGATATATATATTAATAATATCTGTGATCAACAGGAACTCCTGATGGTGAATAAAGACAGAAGTGCTGATCAACTGATTGGCTGAAATAAGATAAATTAACTTGCTTATTAATGACGGATCAGCTGCTGGGCCCTGATTGGCTGAAATAAGATCAATTCACCTGGTTATTAGTGATCGATCAGCTCACGCGACTCACGCTGATGTCATCGTGCCGGTTCTGATCATCGGACATCACGGGAGGGGGGCACGGGAAGAGGACCGGGAGGAGGACCGGGAGGGGGGACCGGGAGGGGGGACCGGGAGGGGGGACCGGGAGGAGGACCGGGGGGGGTCTGTTCCCCGCAGAGAGGGCCGGGGACGGTGCGCTGAGGCGGGCAGGGGCTCGGCGGTGAGTCGGTCTGAGTCCCGGTGAGTTCCTGCAGGTGAACCGTTACTATGAGACACAGAGAGGGAGAGAGGGGTGAGGATCACTCCGACCGGGTTACCGGGACCGGGGAGAGACTCAGGAGGATCACACAATATAATAATAATAATAATAATAATAATAATAATAATGATAATAATAATAATAATAATAATAATAATAATAATAATAATAATAATAATAATAATAATAATAATAATAATAATAATAATAATAATATGAAAAAAGGAAGAGAGTAAAATAACGTAGTAAATAATAGTTTTTATAACTTACATGTTTTTTTATACATATAACATATTATAATTATAATGTTTTTTTTGTTTTATTCACCTTTAAATGAATTATTGATTATTTTATCCCAATGATGATCCTCTTATCAGAGTGTGTCTCGAGAGCATGAATAAAATAAAACACATTTAATTCAGATTTATTTTTACGATGCAACAGTAACATTAAATCCTGATCGGAGTGACACCTCTTCTCTCCCCCACGAGACGATCTTTACGGTGGTGACGTCACAGCTCGCTGATCTCAGCCTGTGACGCCATCACGTACAGAGAAACAACATCATTTTAAAACAGATCTAATTATAATGATTATTGATCAAAATAACAGCTTAAAACATTATTATTATTATATATAATTTTAATCAATTATACTTTATTATAAATTAATGGTTTATTTTATTTCTTTAATTAAATAACATGTATTCTTGTCATTTCGTTTTATTAATCATTTGGCACACTCTTCATATTTATAACATTTTATAAGATTCATAAATAATCTGCCTCTTGTTGATGTTGATTTGTTTGTTTATTAAACCCTGTTTGTAAACCGTATTGTCAATAAAGATAAAAGAAAAAACAGTGGATGCGGCTCCGTGACGTGCCCGGAAGTGTCCCGTTCAGTAGGCTAGCAGCTAGCAGCTAACACCTGGAGCTCCGGACAGACAGGTGAGCCGACAGACCGACAGACAGGCAGGTGAGAAGCTTTTCACCTTGGGGGGGGGCTTACCTGCTTCCGGTCAGAAACCACAAGGAGGAGAGACAGAGACTTTAATCAGCCGTTAGCTCCGTTAGCTTCGTTAGCTCCGTTAGCTTCGTTAGCTCCGTTAGCTTCGTTAGCTCCTCCAGCTGCTGAAAACAGAATCAGCTGTTAAACGAGCTTCTGTGTGTTTTACAGCACAAACATCGAGAGAGGAAATATCATCACAACCAGTCACACATAGAGACAAAGAGAACAGCAATACATTTCATTATAATGTCCTCTCAGTGTGTCAGCACATCTGCTAACTATAACTATAAACTAACCTATACTTCATTATCTCTGCTAACTATAACTATAAACTAACCTATACTTCATTATCTCTGCTAACTATAACTATAAACTAACCTATACTTCATTATCTCTGCTAACTATAACTATAAACTAACCTATACTTCATTATCTCTGCTAACTATAACTATAAACTAACCTGTAGATACTTCATTATCTCTACTAACTATAACTATTATAAACTACCTTATATTATCTCTGCTAACTATAACTATAAACTAACCTATACTTCATTATCTCTGCTAACTATAACTATAAACTAACCTATACTTCATTATCTCTGCTAACTATAACTATAAACTAACCTATACTTCATTATCTCTGCTAACTATAACTATAAACTAACCTGTAGATACTTCATTATCTCTACTAACTATAACTATAAACTAACCTATACTTCATTATCTCTGCTAACTATAACTATAAACTAACCTATACTTCATTATCTCTACTAACTATAAACTAACCTATACTTCATTATCTCTGCTAACTATAACTATAAACTAACCTGTAGATACTTCATTATCTCTACTAACTATAACTATAAACTAACCTATACTTCATTATCTCTGCTAACTATAACTATAAACTAACCTATACTTCATTATCTCTGCTAACTATAACTATAAACTAACCTATACTTCATTATCTCTGCTAACTATAACTATAAACTAACCTATACTTCATTATCTCTGCTAACTATAAACTAACCTGCTGATACTTCATTATCTCTACTAACTATAAACTAACCTGTAGATACTTCATTATCTCTACTAACTATAAACTAACCTGTAGATACTTCATTATCTCTAACTACTATAAACTAACCTGTAGATACTTCATTATCTCTACTAACTATAAACTAACCTGTAGATACTTCATTATCTCTACTAACTATAAACTAACCTGTAGATACTTCATTATCTCTACTAACTATAAACTAACCTGCTGATACTTCATTATCTCTACTAACTATAACTATAAACTAACCTGCTGATACTTCATTATCTCTACTAACTATAAACTAACCTGTAGATACTTCATTATCTCTACTAACTATAAACTAACCTGTAGATACTTCATTATCTCTACTAACTATAACTATAAACTAACCTGTTGATACTTCATTATCTCTACTAACTATAACTAACCTGTAGATACTTCATTATCTCTACTAACTATAAACTAACCTGCTGATACTTCATTATCTCTACTAACTATAAACTAACCTGCTGATACTTCATTATCTCTACTAACTATAAACTAACCTGCTGATACTTCATTATCTCTACTAACTATAAACTAACCTGTAGATACTTCATTATCTCTACTAACTATAAACTAACCTGCTGATACTTCATTATCTCTACTAACTATAAACTAACCTGTAGATACTTCATTATCTCTACTAACTATAAACTAACCTGCTGATACTTCATTATCTACTAACTAACTATAAACTAACCTGCTGATACTTCATTATCTCTACTAACTATAAACTAACCTGTAGATACTTCATTATCTCTACTAACTATAAACTAACCTGTAGATACTTCATTATCTCTACTAACTATAACTATAAACTAACCTGTTGATACTTCATTATCTCTACTAACTATAAACTAACCTGTAGATACTTCATTATCTCTACTAACTATAAACTAACCTGCTGATACTTCATTATCTCTACTAACTATAAACTAACCTGCTGATACTTCATTATCTCTACTAACTATAAACTAACCTGCTGATACTTCATTATCTCTACTAACTATAAACTAACCTGTAGATACTTCATTATCTCTACTAACTATAAACTAACCTGCTGATACTTCATTATCTCTACTAACTATAAACTAACCTGTAGATACTTCATTATCTCTACTAACTATAAACTAACCTGCTGATACTTCATTATCTCTACTAACTATAACTATAAACTAACCTGCTGATACTTCATTATCTCTACTAACTATAAACTAACCTGTAGATACTTCATTATCTCTACTAACTATAAACTAACCTGTAGATACTTCATTATCTCTACTAACTATAACTATAAACTAACCTGTTGATACTTCATTATCTCTACTAACTATAAACTAACCTGTAGATACTTCATTATCTCTACTAACTATAAACTAACCTGCTGATACTTCATTATCTCTACTAACTATAACTATAACTAACCTGCTGATACTTCATTATCTCTACTAACTATAAACTAACCTGTAGATACTTCATTATCTCTACTAACTATAAACTAACCTGCTGATACTTCATTATCTCTACTAACTATAAACTAACCTGTAGATACTTCATTATCTCTACTAACTATAAACTAACCTGTAGATACTTCATTATCTTACTAACTATAAACTAACTAACTATAACTAACCTGCTGATACTTCATTATCTCTACTAACTATAACTATAAAAACCTGCTGATACTTCATTATCTCTACTAACTATAAACTAACCTGCTGATACTTCATTATCTCTACTAACTATAAACTAACCTGTAGATACTTCATTATCTCTACTAACTATAAACTAACCTGCTGATACTTCATTATCTCTACTAACTATAAACTAACCTGTTGATACTTCATTATCTCTACTAACTATAAACTAACCTGCTGATACTTCATTATCTCTACTAACTATAAACTAACCTGCTGATACTTCATTATCTCTACTAACTATAACTATAAACTAACCTGTAGATACTTCATTATCTCTACTAACTATAAACTAACCTGCTGATACTTCATTATCTCTACTAACTATAACTATAAACTAACCTGCTGATACTTCATTATCTCTACTAACTATAAACTAACCTGCTGATACTTCATTATCTCTACTAACTATAAACTAACCTGTAGATACTTCATTATCTCTACTAACTATAAACTAACCTGCTGATACTTCATTATCTCTACTAACTATAAACTAACCTGTTGATACTTCATTATCTCTACTAACTATAAACTAACCTGCTGATACTTCATTATCTCTACTAACTATAAACTAACCTGCTGATACTTCATTATCTCTACTAACTATAACTATAAACTAACCTGCTGATACTTCATTATCTCTACTAACTATAACTATAAACTAACCTGCTGATACTTCATTATCTCTACTAACTATAACTATAAACTAACCTGCTGATACTTCATTATCTCTACTAACTATAAACTAACCTGCTGATACTTCATTATCTCTACTAACTATAAACTAACCTGCTGATACTTCATTATCTCTACTAACTATAAACTAACCTGTAGATACTTCATTATCTCTACTAACTATAAACTAACCTGTAGATATTCATTATCTCTACTAACTATAAACTACCTGTAGATACTTCATTATCTCTACTAACTATAAACTAACCTGCTGATACTTCATTATCTCTACTAACTATAAACTAACCTGCTGATACTTCATTATCTCTACTAACTATAAACTAACCTGCTGATACTTCATTATCTCTACTAACTATAAACTAACCTGTAGATACTTCATTATCTCTACTAACT